CACTTCCAATATAATTCAACAATAATAGATAATTACTGATTTTTTTAGAAAATTATTGAATATTAAATATGTAATTATCTATAATTACTGATCTTTTTTTAACATAAGAGAAATAGGAGTAATTTAGCATTTTTAATAATTTTCAATAATTTTTTATAATTATAAAAAGGATGGAACACATAACTGTAGAATATTATCGTGCTAGTACTCCTTATTTATCACCAGAAGCTATTGAGGAAATCATTCAATCTTGAGGTACAGTTAAAAATGCATACAGGAAAATAGCTTATAAATATAGTACTTCAACTTGTAGAATATATGAAATTTGGAAAAGACATGCTGAAGGAATATCTTTGCACAAACAGCAACTAATACATATTGTTGTTTCTTCTGAAATAATATCTGAAAATAATACTTTGGATAAAAAGTCAAAGAAAAGAAAATCATAATCTGGTACAGAGGCTAGCTTTTCAGCTAATAAGGTTGGTATAACTGATATTCTGATAAAAAAAGTAGATGAAATGGATGACTTACAAGTTAAGCTTGTACAAAATTGTAAAGAAAGAGAAGAAGCTAAACGTGAGATGAAAAGGGTCTTAGATTCTAACTAATCTATTTTTGTTTTTTTTAAAGTAGTTTGCAATCTATTGCAGAGCAATAGCTCTTCGAGCCTAAAACTGTTTCAATATCAGATTTGTTATATTCCCATAGTTTTTTATTAAGCTTGATTAATTCAGTATTGGATTTGAGTACCTCATGTAGCGATTTTTCTAACTCCTCATAGCTCATGCATTTTTTTTTAAAAGTCGAATCATCAGAATCTATATTAAAATTTGTGGAAGCATGCTATTTCTCCTGTAAAATTTGATCGAATACTAGAGATATATTATCTTGAGATACAGTTGCGCAGTTTACTTCGAGATTATTTTTGACTTTGTGCATATTTATCAGGATAAAGAACTCCTTACCATTGCATACAAGTTTTAATTCCCATCTCAATGCAAGTAAATCGTAGTTATATTTGTCAAGTAACATATTAGATAAAATCAACATCAGCTTGGGGTATTTAACCACTACAAATCAGAGTATATGGCACAACTGGAAGTAAAGTACACTGGTACATTTCGGGTAGTTCTAAGAGATTCAGTAAGAATAGTAGCAATACCTCTGAGGTCATGTTTATCTTTTGTATCAATTATCAACTTTAATCATTTGGCTATATCTTCAGACATAATTGCAAAATTAGCACCAGAATCTACAGTATTACTAGTCACTTGATCTTGCATTTTGTAGTTACAGCATCTGTAGCTGGATCTTTTCTCTGAACAAAATCTATTTCCATAAGATCATCAATAAACTCATCATCTGAATCAGGTATTTCTAGAGCTGGTTCTCTATAATTTTTAGCAGAAATAGTTTTACTAAAATCAGATTTTTGAATAGATAGAGCTGAGTAAGTAAACTCTCAGCATGAACTAGTATATTGGTGTTAATCTTAACTTTGGTTTTTTCTATCCAATCTATAGATGCAATACTATTAAGCATATCTAGTACAATGCTTTGAAGAGATTTATCAATAACAGTGGATTTATTTCGTAACTTACTAGAATTGGGAATCTTCTTCTGGTTCCCTTTGCAAGGCTTGAATGGGTTTCTAGCTCGAAGCTTTGCTTTCTCTTTTTTGATTTTGAATTGCTTGAGTTTATTCCCAGATGGTGATTTTGTAGAGTTGCTCTTATGTTTTACTTTTTTTTTACCTTACTAATATGAATCTTAATGTCACTTTCAGATTTAGATCCGGCTAAGTATTCTTTAAAATTAGACCCTGATTTGGAGCCAGAATTAGAATTATTATCAGAAGAGTTAGTATCTGAATTTGACTCAGAGCTCAAATCTATAGTAACCTTATAGACATTATCTTTTTTATTTTTGGATCTACTCTTCTTTTTTCAAGAACACTTATGAGAATTATGCCCAGTCCTATTATAGTTTGAACAAAGATGTTGTGCTTTCATAGCTTTTTTAATAGCTATAGCTATGTGCAACTTCAACTGCTTCTTTGTAAGTTTGGCCAATTCATTATCGGAGTTAACTTCAACTTTCTTTATTACTGGTTTTAGAGGCAAATCAGGCTTGGAGATAGAAACAAATTCTGAAACCTTTCTAGTAATCTATTATACAAATCTATCCATTAATATATCTTGTATTTTTTGATATATGCTAGGAATTTGTGGTCTATAATAAGGTTGAGGTGTCTGCAATAGTTGTGATGGCTATATTTACTGAGAAGCTAATTGTGAAAACGAATTGGAATTGTGTAGGTGTTATTAATTTAGATGACAATTTATAACTAGACTGGGGTATTTTACTAACTAATCCTAATTTTTTCTCTGCTTTTCACATTTCAATTTGCTCTAAAATTTCAAAAAGATCAGCTAATGGTTGCTCAGTACCAATGCATTCCACATCATCCTCCAAGTCTGGAGACAAACTTCTTAGAAATAGTTCCTTAATCTGTTGCTCATCAAGATTAAGCATTTTTCTATATTTTAAGAGTTTTAAGTAAAAGTCTCCTATAGGTTTACTCCTCTGAGCTAATGATCCATAAACTAAATTATGTATTTCACTTATTACTATAGAATATTCATTTCTAAGCCAATATAATACTTGACTAATCCAAATGTCACCAAATACTATAGGATTAGCATTACCTGCATTAACAGCATTGGAAAGTCTATCTGATAGATGTTCTCTAGCTAAGCACTAATCTTCAATAAAAGCTTCAGCTGGAATCATGAAAACACCTATGGTTACTGCATTATTACCAGCAGTATTTGTATAGTCATGGGCAATTGAAGGATTTCTAAAGCTATTACTAGTATTTATCTGTGCCATAGTGCATCTCCGAAGAGCACCTATACCAGCCTGGCCATGATTTGCAAAAATATTGTGAAGTTCTCATCATTTACTAAGAATTTTTTGATTAAACCATTCTAATGCTTGCCCATGTAAACACCCTCTAAGAATACCAAATGCTTAATTCTGATTAGAACTGGGTCTATACCAGTGCCAGCTAAATATGATGATAATTGACTAACAAAAATACCAATATTCTCATCATATTTACCTGAAAAATTTGGTAGTGGAAGTGGTTGTAATATCATATTTGCTTGTATATTTATAGGTAAATTATTTTGTAGTGTAAAAATTTGTAGATTTAAATTTAAAATTAATTGCTCAGAATTTTGTGCCTGAGTTTTCCACTTATCCCACTTGTTGTCCAGTTGAACATTAGCAAGTAATAGGTTATTTTTTAAAGTCTTGCATTTTCTTTTCTATTTGATATATCAATTTTTTGTAAGATTTAAGAGATGTGTGGTTGTCACTCCATCAGCTTTACAATTTTGTAATTGCTTTTGAGTTCATCTATTCAAAAGATGCAATGTAAATTTTTCTGTTAACAACTCTGATATTTGTCTTTTTTGTATACAGATTGTAATTCGACTATCAAGTTCTCGGAATTTAAATATACTATGTTGCATTCTGTGGGCCTCATAAGCCTGATGAAGAAGATCATAGTCATTTTGAAGTGTGCCTAACTGGGTTTGTGAATTAGGTAACTGGGTTTGCAAATTTATTAGCTGGGTCTGCAAATCTACTACTTGGTTTTCTGCATTAATTGTGCGAGTATTTGCTTGTGAATATATTTCTAGTACCAACTTTTTTAATCTTTCACCTGCATCAAAAATTATATTAAGATAATCTACAATATCATTTAATATAGGTGCTGTTGTGATTGGGCTTTGAAAATACTATCTAATATTATCAACCTCTCACTGAATTCTATAATTCTAAATTATAGCTTGATTTTTGGATAAAGATAATCTAGGCGATTCTGGTTGTTGAGCCATATCTATATTAGTATTGCCATTTTTATATAAAATAAGTATTTTTATTTTTTCATTAAGCTTGTCTATTTTGTCTTGAAAAATTACTAACTACTTTTCCAAATAGTCTATATAATTCTCTAAGCTTTCAGAATCTCAAAGTGTTTTTTCTAACTGTTCTTTAATATCAGAAATTTCCTGTTGTAATGGATCCAGTTCTCTATCTCGAATTAAAATTTCATTTTCAAGATATTTAATATAACTCTCTTTTAAGTCTAAATCCTATTGTAATTTACAGAATCAATTTTTTATTATCTGCAAACTATCTTCAGCTTGAGCTAGTCTATTTGTACCAATTTTTGATATCATTGCAGTATTTTATAACATAATAAACAAGAATCAAAAAATTAGTCTTTTGTATATGAGTAAATCTACTATTATAATAGACTCTAATAAGAAATTGCAAATTGTTCTTTATATGATCTACTATAATGTGTCAGGCTTTTATTCCAATCCTAGAAAAATACAAAAAATATATATAAAAGAAGAATATACTCATTTTTGACTTAAAGATATCACAAACTGGTTAGAGAATCAGTATGATTACCAAATATATTAACACCCACCAAAGATTAAGGCCCAGGCTAGCTTTTCTAAATGCCAAATTCCTAATAAATTACATCAATATAACCTACTCCCCATGTCCATGATAATCAGAAAAGAGAAAACAATAGGATTAGAATAGAAAGAAGTGGGGTAAAAAAACTGGGAGGTGCTAATACTGAGATCCTGAAAT